GAATATGAACGTGGTTTTGCGCAGCTCGTCAGTGAACAACGGCTCTGTGTAGTAAATGCTGCTCAATGTGAAAGCACGCACGTGATGGAGATTTACCGCTGATTACAGAACCGGCTTTTCTGACAAGATGCGCGTTAAATATCGCATGCGATTTATCGTGCAGCCCTACATCATACAATTTAAAAAAGACACCTGACGAAAAACTTGATAAATTTCTGGACTTTTATAAGGAAACAGCCAAGCGAACAAAACTACATAAATGGTACAATATATAAATGAAATGTGCAATGTTTTTTTATATATATTTTTTTTAACATGATTCCCAATTATTTATATTCACGATTTGTAGTATTTGTACCGGCTTTACATTTTTATTTCAATGTTGTAATTAGCAATTCATTTAATTTGATCTTTGAAGCAGATTTGTTATGTGACAGCATTAATTAAAGTTTCTTAAGGGCCAAGATCAAGTTATCTGCATCTCCTGCGCTCCTTCAAGCCACTCCCATAATATCTGTAATCACTCAAATTAATGCATGGCTCAATTTAACTGTACAGTATGTGCGTAAGACTCCAATACAATTATAAAGTTATTATTTTATCATGAATAAATCTTTCAGCGAGTAAAACTGGCTGTCTATAGTATTATAGACTACACAACATTATTATATTATTTTTAAATTACTGTCCCTGGATCAGTAGGGTACTCTTCTAATAAAGTAGCAGTGGCTGGGGACAGATTTTAAGTATCAATTCTGCTTTAAAAGATGCAATCTAATCGTGTTTACATGAAATAAGCCTGCTCTCGAGCAGGTTTAAGCTTACGGACCTGTTGCTATGACAGCAACTCTGGGATGAGCTTCGAAGAACCAACCAATCGAAGATCATGCCAAATTGTCAAATATCAAATCCAGCTAACGGAGTTAGCGACATATGAAGAACGGGCCCCTAGTTTTCTACATCAGCGCCATTTGATCTGTTTATAACAGAGATTTCTGTGCAGAATCTGAATGCTTCTCACTGGATCTCGCAGCACTGTGCAGTAACAGTGTCGTGAAATCAACTTTGGTTCCCGCGTAAAGTTGTTCTAAGCTCGGACAAGTTTGTTTGCGTCGAGGTCCGAGCTGATAAACGGACTGCGCTGCGCAGCTCAAACGAGTAGCGGGATTTTGTTACGCTTTTGTTTCGTTTGCCGTTTGATGTTTCTCATTTGCAACAGAAATGGCATGGCTCTCGAGCAGGTTTAAGCTTACGGACCTGTTGCTATGACAGCAACTCTGGGATGAGCTTCGAAGAACCAACCAATCGAAGATCATGCCAAATCGTCAAATATCAAATCCAGCTAACGGAGTTAGCGACATATGAAGAACGGGCCCCTAGTTTTCTACATCAGCGCCATTTGATCTGTTTATAACAGAGATTTCTGTGCAGAATCCGAATGCTTCTCACTAGATCTCGCAGCAATCTTTACTCATTTTGCGGCGAATTCAAACGCTTCTCACTGGATCTCGCAGCACTGTGCAGTAACAGTGTCGTGAAATCAACTTTGGTTCCCGCGTAAAGCTGTTCTAAGCTCGGACAAGTTTGTTTGCGTCGAGGTCCGAGCTGATAAACGGACTGCGCTGCGCAGCTCAAACGAGTAGCGGGATTTTGTTACGCTTTTGTTTCGTTTGCCGTTTGATGTTTCTCATTTGCAACAGAAATGGCATGTGAGTTGAACAACGAGGTGGTCGCGCCAGTGCGACCGCTCACAAAATTTACTTGCACCGGAAGAAAAAATGGTCGCAATCTGGAGCCCTGCTAGGCAAATTGGCCAGTAACTGGTTAATTTGACACTATGCAAACTATGTTGATTCGTGTTTTATTACAGGTTCATTGTTTTCTGTTTTTGCTTGCAAACTCTTCGGTTCCAGGTTCATTTGTTGTGGTTTCAATCTACTTGTGGATATGAGGCAAACACACACAGGCGATTCATGCATGCAGTTTCCCAGGAAATCCGTCCCGACAACTCTAAAATAATACTATTTATTATAGGCCCTCCATTGTTTTTTTAGGGTAAGGCAAAAACACAACTTCAGAAGATAGTGTGCTTGCTCATTATTAAATTTTATTCATTTCGGGGGTAAAAAAATTACATAGAGTAGCTTTAAGCAAAATAAACCCTTTTATGGTAGTGCAAAACCACCCTAAACATCTTGCCAGGGTGACAAAACAAAACAACTCACCGGAAAAGGAGGAAAAATCCATAGACTTCCAGGACGACACCTATAATCGGCCATCCAATGAGCACCACGAAAACACCTCCCAGAAAGAAACCGGTGGCTTTCATTTTATGCCGCTGGAAGAAGAACCTGAACGTCCGTTCCAGTCCGATAACAAATGAGAGACCTGCGACGAACAAGATCTGCAAACACAAAAAGACATTCAGGTTCAGTTCAAGCAGCATTTTAATTCCCTAACACGCCTGAGCGTTCATGTTTTACTCCATTCAAACAACTGTGTTAAAGCACACACTTACATTTCCTATGGCCAAGAGCGCTTTATCAAAGAACAGAATCATTCCAAAGAAGAGGAAAAACACGCCGAAGCCCGTCAGCCCCATCCCGATCTCTGTTAAAAACACAACAACAGCCTTTATTAGTGCTGCGTTATAAATACAGAGAGAGGCATGCAAATAAGTCATATATAAGATTAAGTACTTCAGTGTAAGTAAAAATATAGTACTCCTGTACAACTTTGCAATTGTTTTAGGCTTTTCTTCTTTCTAATGATTTAAAAGATTAAATAAAGATAAAGATTAAATAATAATATTAATAATAGGTACCATATGATTACCATATACCAGGGTATTTGCATAGTACTCCAAAGCACTTCAGAGAATACCATGGTAATATATCATAGATAGATAGATAGATTCAACATTAGATAGATAGATTCAACATTAGATAGATAGATGATAGATAGATAGATTCAACATTAGATAGATAGATTGATAGATAGATTCAACATTAGATAGATAGATTCAACATTAGATAGATAGATGATAGATAGATAGATTCAACATTAGATAGATAGATGATAGATAGATAGATAGATAGATTCAACATTAGATAGGTAGATAGATAGATAGATAGATTCAACATTAGATAGATAGTGTAAGATGGTTGTACTAATGATATAATCAAATGATCACCATATTTATATACTGCTCCAGGGTACATTACTATAATGGTGATGGTATTATCATGGTATCACAATTCTTCTAATATTAGATTACAGGGTTTTACTATAGTTGTGATTTGATTGTACTGTTAGAGGCCACGCCGTGTATCCTCATTCATTCCCATTCATCACTTCCTCAACATTTTCAGCTTTAAAGCAGTATTTGAAACATTTCTATCTAAACTAACAACATTAATGCAGAGCAGAGATACTGTAGAATTGACTTACTCTGTGAGTCCGTTAACGAAATCATGTTTGTGTTGTTTATCAGACGGTTTACTGACTGATGAGTAAAACTGTTCTGTGTGTGATCGCCACGACACCGGAAACACGTAGAGATACTTTAAACGTCCGAAATGACGCTGCGAAAAATTCAGATACTGTTTATTATTGTTATTATTTTCACTTGATTTTTATTTAGAGAGGTGAATGCTTTGCTTTGTCACAGTGACAAGGTGGTTTGTAAGTCAATACACAGTTCAGACAGCTAATATCTTTGAAGGTTTTAGTGTGCGTGCTGTGCACAGTTTACATATTTGCACCGAATATCAGATATGATAAGTGGTGTTGTGATAATAATATAGCATACTGCATAATGTTTCACATACTTCAGATGTAGTATACAGTATGTACTGCACAGTGTGTGTTTAGCAATACACTACTATTCCATTCCAGACATAGTCGTGCAGTTATGAACCTCAACAAGATGACTTATGTTACAGTCTTTGTGCTAAATCTAGAATCACAGGATAAGATGCATTTCTGACATTAATGGTTCAGCTTCAGGACAGACTTTTACTGGACATCAAGTGGGAATCTACAAAATTGTTTATTGTACAATGAATAAATAAAAATGTAATTGCTGTGTGTGATCGCCACGACACCGGAAACACGTAGAGATACTTTAAACGTCCGAAATGACGCTGCGAAAAATTCAGATACTGTTTATTATTGTTATTATTTTCACTTGATTTTTATTTAAAGGCTATTTTATTATTACTACTTCCTCTCGCAATCATGCTACTCTCACACGCAGATACTTGCTAAGTTTGTTAGTAGTTGTTTTTGGTCGTGTTTCTGGGAAATGTAGTTTTCAGTAACAGCCGCATGCATGCTGGATTAGAGCCAAAAAACTACAAATCCCAGCAGGCGCAGTGGGAAGCAGCAAGTCATGCCTGTAGCCGGGAGACTTGTTCATTGAAATATCACTAGTTCTTCACTTGTGCATGTCATGAACATTTAGATATTTAGTATTCACCATGCCAACATCCGGATTAATGTAAAGATGAAATAACGGTTGTGATTGCTTCATTTTAGGCTTTAACAATGAATACGTTGTTTGCGATCGCTTTGGTGTTTGTTGGTTGCTGCAGTAATGTTGTAGTATACAGTATGTACTGCACAGTGTGTGTTTAGCAATACACTACTATTCCATTCCAGACATAGTCGTGCAGTTATGAACCTCAACAAGATGACTTATGTTACAGTCTTTGTGCTAAATCTAGAATCACAGGATAAGATGCATTTCTGACATTAATGGTTCAGCTTCAGGACAGACTTTTACTGGACATCAAGTGGGAATCTACAAAATTGTTTATTGTACAATGAATAAATAAAAATGTAATTGTCATTAAAACACTGCAGTTTATACGTTTAATTAACATATATATAATTTGCAGAACCTCTCTGAATTAATATATTTATGTGTTGTAGACCCTGCTAATTTAAATCTTTATTCTGACTTTTTTTTTTTTTACTTTATTCCAATTTTAATTTAAGTAATTAAATAATAATAACGAAATTAAGTAATTAAATAATAATAATTAAGTCAATAATTTAACTACACATTGGCATGTTTGCCATCCTCTGATGTCATTTTAAAGTGTTTTTATTTTGAAATATTTTTAATTTTTAAATTATTTGATTTAATTAATAATGTGCTTGAGTAACTTACAAACACCCTGGGTATGGTAAAACTAATCGGTGCAAGATTATCCTATTCAAATCAATGTGATAAAACAATTCTGTATATATATATATATATATATATATATGCATTACATAATTTTTTTAATTCAGTATTGTTTTCCCTCATGCCTATGAGTATCTCATGACTTTTGATGCGTTTCCCCTTTGCAGTAACTATGTGATCATGGTGACCATGTTCTTTACCGTCAGCGTGATCAATAACTACGCCCTGAACTTTAACATCGCCATGCCCCTGCACATGATCTTCAGATCAGTGAGTATCATTCATTTCATTCATTCATTGCTTTCAAAACTGTGCCTTACTGATCTCTGTAACTTCTCATTTCGATCACAGGGATCTTTAATAGCAAACATGATCCTCGGTATTATCATCTTGAAGAAAAGGTATGCTGAAGATATGCACAAAATCCTTACTTAACTCTTTTTTTGCATATTATTCAGTCAGGTTATTACTTTCAGATATTCGGCGAGTAAATATCTCTCCATCGTGCTGGTGTCTTTGGGCATTTTCATTTGCACTATTATGTCGGCCAAACAAGTGGTGAGTCACTTTAGGCTGGATCACAAAATACTGTATTAGTAGTTGTTTCGTATTAACAGGCATAATGTATTTGCATTTCAATGCTTTTATCTGCATCTAATATGTCAGGTTTGATATTTATGTAGAATGTTGAGAAAGGGGCCACAGAGGAAGATGTTTTTTATGCCTTCATGCATTGGATTCTGGGTAATATTCTCATTACACATTCACACTGTATAGTATATACTACCATTTAAAACATTAATATGTGAAACTGCATTAGTAACAATAAGCATTTAAAATGGTTGCATGCTACATTATTAGTAGTATGTAGTATACACTACTGTTCAAAAGTTTGAGTAACTTCTATTCAGCAAGGATGCATTCAATTGATCAAAAGTGATAGTAAAGACATTTATAATGTTACAAGAGATTTCTATTTCAAATAAATGCTGTACTTTTGAACTTTCTATTCATCAAAGAATTGTTAAAAACAAATTATAAAACGGATGGTTCCGGTCCTTGATTCTGATTGGTTCAATGTGCAGCTGTAAAAAATTTCAAAAAAAATAAGCTGTTATAAATTCACTGTAAATCATGGGTTCTTGGGGCTTATTGGTTTATTTGAATTACTTACTAGAAATTATAAAACGGATGGTTCCGGTCCTTGATTCTGATTGGCTGAGCCACGTTCGAAGCTGTGGTACGACGCGAAGCGGAGGCTTATTGCTTTAACGTATCACAGTTTATACTCCGATATGAAGCAGCACAACTGTTTTCAACATTGATGATAATCCAAGGGCGTAGAATTAAGTAGGGACGCACGGGATATGTCCTACCAAAATCCAGCAACTACTAAATTGTCCCTCAATCAAACAATTAAATGTCAGTTGTCTGCTGTTATGTCCCCACCCATGCCAAAATCAAACCCACGCCCTTGTAATAATAATAAATGTTTCTTCAGCAGCAAATCAGCATATTAGAATGATTTCTGAAGGATCATGTGACACTGAAGACTGGAGTAATGATGCTGAAAATTCAGCTTTGATCACAGGAATAAATTATATTTTACAATATAGTAAAACAGAAAGGAGTTATTTGAAATAGTAATAATATTTCCTATTATTAGTGTTTTTATGGTATTTTGGATCAAATAAATACAAATTTTATGAGCATAAGAAAAATATCAAACTTTTGAACGATTGTGTACATATTGCATACTGCTAAAATAGTTTTAGTAGTGTGTTAGTATGCAATTCCGAAGACATTTACTGAGTATATGTGGTTATTTATATCATTCTGAACTTTATTTTTCAGTCACATAAGCATGATATTCAGTTGCATTAATGCTGTTGTGTTTCAGGGATTGCCATGCTGACGTTCGCCTTGCTGATGTCTGCAAGAATGGGCATTTTTCAGGAAACTGAAGTATGGTAAACACTCCAAGGAGGCTTTGTTTTACAATGTGAGTCCCTAACCGTACGTATGATGCTGTATTCTAGTGTGCAACATTTTGTCATATATGAGTATGTAGGATTGAGTGGGATTTTTCTGCCTTTTTTCAGCACTGTCTGCCTTTACCAGGATTCCTCCTGCTGTCAACAGACATCTACAGACACGCCGTACTCTTCAGCCAGAGCTGTGAGTATGCTTCTGATGGGACCAATGTAGTAAATTAGTCATCTCCACTCAAACGTTTGGGGTCTTTAAGGTTTTTAAAATGTTTTTTAAAGAATGCTTACCATGGCTGCATTTATTTGATCAAAAATATGGTAAAAACAGGAAAATATTATTGCAATTTAAAATAACTGTTTTCTGTGGAAGCTCATTTCTGCCACAGGATAAAAAACAAAAAGTATTAAAGGGGTCATATGATGCGATTTCATTTTTTCCTTTCTCTTTAGAGTGTTACAAGCTCTTGGTGCATAAAGAAGATCTGTAAAGTTGCAAAGACTAAAGTCTCAAATCCAAAGAGATATTCTTTATAAAAGTTAAGAGTTAGCCACACCTACCTAAAACGGCTCGTTCGAACACGCCCCCACATACCTACCTCACTATGTGGGAAGATTTGCTGAGCTTTGTAAAAATCGACGCGTTTCAAAAAGGCGGGGCATAGAGGAGAAACAATAATGTACAGTATGTGGAAAATAATGTGTTTTTTTAACTTTAAACCGCATAAACACATTTCATTACACCAAATACACAAAATAATGTTCTTTTTAGCAGCATCATATGACCCCTTTAAAAAATGTTGTTTTTTTTAAATTCCATGTCAGAAACGGGCTTCAATAATATTTATTTAAAATCTAATTAATTCCTGTGATCAAAGCTGAATTTTCAGCATCATTACTGCAGTCTTCAGTGTCACGTGATCCTTCAGAAATCATTCTACTCTGCTTTTTCAGGTTTAAGACAGTTAGGGTAGGTCTAAAAACTCCCGTCTCATTTTCTCCTCCAATCTCAAAATCGTCCTACATCGCTGCAGAAGTACTGACCCAGTGTTTACAAAGTGAACATGCAAAGAAGGTCAAACGCCCTTTACAAAAAAACGGCAAAACAACGATGTAAGGACGATTTAGGACGATTTTGAAGTTGATAGAGAAAATGAGATGGGAGTTTTTAGACATACCCTAACTGTCATGAACCAGAAAAAACTGAGTTCATGCAGAGCTAGACAAGACCAGCGTTTGAGGTTAAAAAGTATATAAATTGTAATTTTTTTTTTTAGAAAATAACCGATCGTTTTGCTAGATAAGACCCTTCTTCCTCGGCTGGGATCGTTTAGAGCCCTTTGAAGCTGCATTTAAACTGCATTTTGGAAGTTCAAACTCGGGGGCACCATAGAAGTCCATTATATGGAGAGAAATCCTGAAATGTTTTGCTCAAAAAAAATATTTCTTTACGACTGAAAAAAGAAAGACATGAACATCTTGGATGACAAGGGGGTGAGTACATGATCTGTACATTTTTGTTCTGGAAGTGAACTACTCCTTTAAGAAACATTTCTGATTAATATCAATGTAGAAAACACTTGTGCTGCTTCATATTCTTGTGGAAACAATGATACAGATCATTTTTTGATGAATAGAAAGTTTATTTGAAGTAGAAATCGCTTATCACTTCCTCATTGAATGTACGTACTGATTTCTTTCAAAACCCCAAATGTTTGAATGGTGTATATAAGCCTTAAAAAGTTTTAGTTTGTTTGGCGTTTATTTTGAAATGACAAACCGTGACTTTCTCTCAAAGCTCCAGTGGAAATCCCTGTGATTGGTCAGTCTGTGCCAGTCATGTGGTTATACCTACTGATGAATGTCATCACCCAGTATCCTTTCATTTTTGTCATCCTTATGGCCTTTTATTGGACAGAGCTGTAGAAAGGCATGCTAAGAAATCTGTCTACAGTCAGTATATTTCATCCTTAGCCAGATATCTCAAGATACGTGTGCATCCGCGGCGTGTTCATTCTGACCACGGAGTGCGCATCGCTCACGGTTACACTGGTGGTGACGATTCGCAAATTCCTCAGTCTCATTATTTCCATCCTGTACTTCCATAATCCCTTCGCAGCCTGGCACTGGGTCGGCACGGCCGTGGTGTTCCTGGGAACGCTGCTCTACACGGAAGTGTGGTCCAGCATTCGTGCGGCAATGAAAGGAGAGAAAGCTGACAAGAAGGAAGAGTAAATTATGGAAGCCCATTTACGCCACAGAATACAAAAATGAAATAGGTAATTGCGACTCTTTAATCTCACAATTCTGAGTTTATCTCTCTCAATTATGACTCTTTTGTCAGAATTGTGAGATATATACTCATAATTTTGAGATATAAACTCAGAATTGCAAGCAAGTCAGAAAAGTTAAAATTGTGAGATAAAAATTGCAATTGCCTTTTAATTTTTTTTTTAATTCCGTGGTGGAAAGAAGCTTAAATTGTAAAGGAAATGTAATACCTCTTTAGCTTTGAGCGAGTGTGTTTTGTTGGTGTGTGTCCCATCACTATTCAATTTTAAGTTATTCACTGTGGATGGATGAGCGCTTGAGGTACATTTGGGCCAATTTTATGAGCTGCTTTTGAGCCAGGTGTGTGTAAGTTTGTTAGAGCGTTTGCCTGTAGGATTTTACAATGTGTGACCTGTTTTCAGTATCTAGGTCTGTTTTTGCAGAAATTTTATTATTCCTTATTTATTCCTGGCACCATGTTTACTTCATATCTACTTCTTCGAACATTAAAACTAACATAATGGTCAATTTTTGCTAGTTTTGTTAGCATGTTCAGGACTTGCAGCTATTTTTCATAAGTGTTAATGTTCACTACAAGTTAGTGGTATTTATTTCTTTTCCATTTTTAAACACAGCCGGTTTTAGTAAGTCAGTAAATATGTTGGCCCACTTACATGTGTCTTTATTCAGGTGATATAATAAAGTAAGACAGACTACGAACGATAATGCATAAGCATTTTAAGTTGTAGTCACACAGTATATAACATATTTGACTTTTTGTAGTCACCTTCTACTAACGTTTCAGGGTGAGCTAAAGCAATACTGTAGAAAACAACTGCCAATATTGTCGAAAATATCTACACTTATGTTCATGAGGCTAGAATTTGTAATTTGGCATGGATTTGTGTAAGATGTTTTATTTTTTTATCAGCTAACACAAACTGAGACCTCATAAACTGAAGGAAATCACGTCTTTTGTGCAGTTCTTTCAATCTCATCTGCATTTTCTGTGCACCTAATGTGTGGACTATTCATTCCAACTTCATAATTTCTTGGATTAATCAATTTCTCTTGATGTTCTTTTAATTTTATGGTCTTTATTGGCATTAAAAGTATGGTCTTGTGTCTGACGGATTGATAAAACCCTGGGTTTTTCTACAGGTAATGTATTATTTGTCACTCGTGTAGAATTCATAAATTCACACAGTACAAAAATTAAATAACCATATTTTCCCACCAAAATACAATAATTAATACCGTTATTGTTAGTATTGTAAAATCATAATAATAATAATAATTTAATGAGATTGCATTCAAAAAAGTGAGTTTTCAAGTGTACGTTTACATTTTTAGGCAGAACAATGTTTTAAATCATAATAATAATAATTTAATGAGATTGCATTCAAAAAAGTGAGTTTTCAAGTGTACGTTTACATTTTTAGGCAGAACAATGTTTTAACATTTTGAACAATAATGAATAATAATAACAACACGCCATTATTAATATAGTATTAGTCACGCCCCCAGACATATAGTATCATGAACAGCACAGAATGTCCACTTGCTTATAAACTTAAATAAGCTTATATGCTCCTAGATATGTTGACAGAGTTGTGAACATTCATTAGCTGAAAACCATATTTTCCACCAAAATACAATGTGTTAATACTTAAAATTGATAATAAGTTCAATGAGATTGTTCAAAAAGAGTACGCTTTCAAATATTATTTACATTTTTTTTAGCGCAGTACTTTTTTTTCTTTTTTTTTTACATTTTGAATAATAATCGCCTCATGTATTATTAATGTCTCATATTAGCCACACCCCCAAATATTTTGAACAGCACAGAATGTCCACTTGCTTATGAACTTAAATAAGCTTATATGCTCCTAGATATGTTGACAGAGTTGTGAACATTCATTAGCTGAAAACCATATTTTCCACCAAAATACAATGTGTTAATACTTAAAATTGATAAGTTCAATGAGATTGTTCAAAAAGAGTAAGCTTTCAAATATTATTTACATTTTTTTTAGCGCAGTACTTTTTTTTCTTTTTTTTTTACATTTTGAATAATAATCGCCTCATGTATTATTAATGTATCATATTAGCCACACCCCCAAATATTTAATATCACGAAAAAGCACATAATATCCATTTCAAATACTTATAAACGTGAATAAAGCGTGTGTGCTCCCAGATATATGAACAAATAGGATTTATTGATAATTATAAACATTTATTAGCTGACAGAAATGAATCGCTGGAGGTTTAAATGAACGCCGAGTGAAATGTGGAATGAAATTCCTCTGGGCGTGAGAGTGGGAGGGGCTGAGCTAAACACGAGCTTTTAGGCTTTAGATGTCGAAGCCCATACTACTGAACATCCCAGTCCTTAAGAAAAATCAGCTTTTCTGTTTATTTGCAATAAATATTGCGTTAAGCTGTATAGATATAGACCGTCGAAGTGATGGGGGGCAGTGGCAGCTCGCGCCACGTTTCCTTCGACCCTGCCTGTGATGAGGAGGGGGTTACATTCGTGAAGGGCATTCGGGTAAGTGTACTAGATAACGATAAACTTATGCAAAAGTAGTTTCCTTTGTTGAGTAATTTTAACTATATTATCTATGTCGTTGTTTATTATCTATGCGTGCTTAACAACATAAGTTTGTTGTAACGTACTTCCACTGCAAGAGCTTCAGTGGTTCGGTCTTTGAAATGAATTAATTAGAATATCGTGTAAATTGCAAGTTTGTGGAGATTTTAGGGGTGCAGAACAAAATGTCCTGCAGGGCATATAGCTTATGTTAAATATAGCCTACGTACAGGTCATGCATGTTGACCTACTGCATACTAAACATACATACTGCACTTAGACATGACGGGTTAACTTTTACATTACATATAGCTTTCAAAATCAACTGTACTTGAAGTATATATTTGTGACCGTATGTCCCTACACCAACCTCATAGTACTAAATCTTATAATGGTACAACCACAGTACTTTACAAAAAAAAAAAAAAGCATGGTACCGTACAACCAGATTTTGATGGAATTTTACTATGGTAATACCATGTTTTTGGGTGTGTCCCATAATAATACCATTGTACATGAATTTGGTTCCCATTCCATGGTATATATCAGTGTGCAGTGGTACAGTATTCCCATCTTCTGAACAATAGTATTGCTGCAGTAGTCTCTTTCTAATTAATGTACTTTCAGCTATTTCCCAGATTATTTGCGATCACTTGAAAAAATATTGCATGAAAAGAAAGCAATATTGTCTAATGAAGATTCATGCATCCCAGGTCAGTCAAATTGCATTGCAAATTTGAAAAAAGATCAGTAAATGTATTCATTTTGGGCTACAATAATCTGGAAAAAAAAGTTAGTTGAGTTTCCAGTGTGACCGTCAAACACAAACTTGTAGGTGATGGAAAAATGTTCTCAGTTTTCATCATAAAAAAAACCCCACATGAAAAAATAATATAGTAATTTATAGTAAATACTATAGTGTTTTTGAACCATACTATTAGGGCTGCACAATTAATCGGAATTTCTAATCGCGATTACAATTATGGATGCCACAATTACGTAATCGTTCAAAGCGGCAATTAATCGTTCAAAGTCCACTTATGTTATTCTGCACGCTTAAGATATGTTTTTTTCTTTCTACATGTTATCTTAAGGGTTTTTCCATTGTTTTAAGGGTATATTATACTACAATACACTACAGTTTACTCTAGTAAAAACTAAAGTATACTACAGTATTTATTACAGTTCACTATAGTCAATACTACAGTATGCTGTAGCATTCATTATCAAAGTGTTGTAAATACTATACTATATACAGTATACACTTTACTATAGTAAGGTTCAGAAACACTATAGTATTTACTATAAATTACTATAGTATTTTTTCATACTTTGCATATTGTAAAAAACTAGTAATATCAACAAGTATATCAATGCCATTTCTCATCTGATGATAAACAGCTTTCACAAAGAGTGATTGATCGTATGAAGGAGTCTCCACCTGTGGTTCACCCGCAAGCTTCACCCAAATCCTCTACCCAGTCAACAGCTCCTGTAGCTCCTCCGGTCGAGCGATGGGTTCCAGGTGAACATCGTGTACCCATAATCCCTCATCCTCCCTCATATGCCAGTACTTTGGTTCCTCCTCCTGTTTCAGAGCCAATAACACCTTTAGTAACTGGGACTGAGGAAACATCTGCACCACCTTCGAATGTAGAGTCACCTGAGAGTCTTCCAAATCCTCCGCCTACAGGTGATGAGCATGTAGCTATACTTGTACCTGACCCTCAACCTGCTGTGCTGCCTGCTGAACCCATAAATGCTCCTTCACCAGTGTCAAGTGAACCAATAACTGCTTCTCCACGAGTGGAACCCGGTGTTGAACCCCTAACACCACCTCCTGCCATAACCTCGACGACTGAACCTGTAGCCATTCCTCCTTCACCAACCACAGACCCACTTACTGAACCTGTAACACCTATAGAGTCCTCGGTTGAACCTGTAACACCTATAGAGTCCACGGTTGAACCTGTAACACCTATAGAGTCCTCGGTTGAACCTGTAACACCTATAGAGTCCACGGTTGAACCTGTAACACCTATAGAGTCCTCGGTTGAACCTGTAACACCTATAGAGTCCTCGGTTGAACCTGTAACACCTATAGAGTCCTCGGTTGAACCTGTAACACCTATAGAGTCCTCGGTTGAACCTGTAACACCTATAGAGTCCTCGGTTGAACCTGTAACACCTATAGAGTCCTCGGTTGAACCTGTAACACCTATAGAGTCCTCGGTTGAACCTGTAACACCTATAGAGTCCTCGGTTGAACCTGTAACACCTATAGAGTCCTCGGTTGAACCTGTAACACCTATAGAGTCCTCGGTTGAACCTGTAACACCTATAGAGTCCTCGGTTGAACCTGTAACACCTATAGAGTCCTCGGTTGAACCTGTAACACCTATAGAGTCCTCGGTTGAACCTGTAACACCTATAGAGTCCTCGGTTGAACCTGTAACACCTATAGAGTCCTCGGTTGAACCTGTAACACCTATAGAGTCCTCTGTTGAACCTGTAATTGTATCTGCTGAAGTTCGTGTTCCATATGCTGAACCGATTGAACCTATAGAAACTCCATCATCTCTTACTTTAGCTGCTCAGCCAACATCTGGTGAGTCCATGGACTTACCTGTTGAACCTGAGGTTTCAACCTCCCCAATCTCCAGACCTGCTCCCATTCAGTCTGACTTGGAGGAGTCTGCTGTTTCGCAATCTGGGTCTGCTTCATCTGTGGTTTTGCCTGATGAAATGCCATGCAAGATGCAAATGGGTCCAATTTCCACTGGAGATCCTGCAGTTCCTTGTGTTCACCTGGTTGAGGAACCTGTTGCGCCACAACTCGAGGTCTTTCCACTGCAAACACATGTTGGTAAGTTCATAATCTGGCTCATTAGTCTTACCAAAGTCTCTCTGGTTAATTTTTGACTGATTGACCTGCAAAGTCTCCAGTTGTGTCTCAGGATTTTGTACAAATGCTTGTTGAACACAATCTTGAAATTGCAATAAAATGGAAGAAGCAACAGATCTTTTCTGTAAGTGTTTCTGTAAACTGTATTGTCGCATAACTCTCTATATAAAGTTGGATATTGGATAACTTTACCTGCATATATAGAGTGCATTCATGTAAAGTGATGTATAGCACGTCTCAACTGCTTGATTGCTTGTATCATCACAAAATGTAAATTATATTATCGCCCAGCTCTAATCTGCTAAATGCATCACATTTCATCACATTTTAAAATAATCCGTATTGTTAAAACTAATATTTAATTATTTTTTAAAAGAATGGAACATGCATGGATTAATTGTTAGCAGCAATAATATCTTTAACATGCATTTAAAAAATAAATGGGTTGAATTTTCATTTAATGTTGACTTTAACTTCTCAGAAACTTGATTGTGTTTTATAAATTAATGGAAGATCTCCATGCTAAAATATGATATTTCTTTTGTTTAGTGAATGAGGAAAAGCTCAAAAGGCAGCTCAGAGAAGATCTCCAGAAGCTCCTGAATGAGGAAATGAAGATGGCAGAGCATAACATGCGACAACTGTAAACACGTAACTGACGATGAAGATCTCTCAACAAAATACCCAAGAATGTAGTGAGTTTTGGCATCTAAACAGCATTTACTGTGTTTTCATAAGGCTGGAGGAAGAGAAAGCTAAAGCGAAGGCCCAGGCTCAAGCTGCAGCCCGACTCCAGATTCAGGATGAGGTCCAGAAGCTTCTGGAAGAGGAGAAGGCATCCTATCAACAGACTCTAGCAGATGCCATTAGGATGGAGCAGTTGAACGTTCAGGATGAGCGTCTCATAACTCAGTATTATGTAAGTCAGCTTCTGCGCACAGTTGTGTGTTGTTTGTGTATGTGCATCTGAGTATACACGTTTCTTACCGTTTGAGCAGCTTCTTTTGTTTCTGTGCAATTGTTTTGCAAAGCCCTCATAACAAAAATATGCTGGTGCAATACTGTCAAAATGCTAAGGATTAATAGAAAAACACATTTAAAAACAAACAAATACTAGTAGTAATGTCAAAAACACACAATAAAATTGCTAAATCTTTACCTAAATTAAAAAAAGAAATTATTGGAAAATATAAAATAGAAATTGTAATATAACACTAGTAACAATGTAAAAAAAAAACATAATAAAATTGCTAAAACTTTACCTAAATTAAAAAAACAGTTGTGTCTCAGGATTTTGTACAAATGCTTGTTGAACACAATCTTGAAATTGCAATAAAATGGAAGAAGCAACAGATCTTTTCTGTAAGTGTTTCTGTAAACTGTATTGTCGCATAACTCTCTATATAAAGTTGGATATTGATTGGATAACCCTGCATATATAGAGTGCATTCATGTAAAGTGATGTATAGCACGTCTCAACTGCTTGATTGCTTGTATCATCACAAAATGTAAATTATATTATCGCCCAGCTCTAATCTGCTAAATGCAACTATAAGGCATGAAGATATTAAGATATTATAAACAATAACATCATGATTTTCATCACATTTTAAAATAATCCGTATTGTTAAAACTAATATTTAATTATTTTTTAAAAGAATGGAACATGCATGGATTAATTGTTAGCAGCAATAATATCTTTAACATGCATTTAAAAAATAAATGGGTTGAATTTTCATTTAATGTTGACTTTAACTTCTCAGAAACTTGATTGTGTTTTATAAATTAATGGAAGATCTCCATGCTAAAATATGATATTTCTTTTGTTTAGTGAATGAGGAAAAGCTCAAAAGGCAGCTCAGAGAAGATCTCCAGAAGCTCCTGAATGAGGAAATGAAGATGGCAGAGCATAACATGCGACAACTGTAAACACGTAACTGACGATGAAGATCTCTCAACAAAATACCCAAGAATGTAGTGAGTTTTGGCATCTAAACAGCATTTACTGTGTTTTCATAAGGCTGGAGGAAGAGAAAGCTAAAGCGAAGGCCCAGGCTCAAGCTGCAGCCCGACTCCAGATTCAGGATGAGGTCCAGAAGCTTCTGGAAGAGGAGAAGGCATCCTATCAACAGACTCTAGCAGATGCCATTAGGATGGAGCAGTTGAACGTTCAGGATGAGCGTCTCATAACTCAGTATTATGTAAGTCAGCTTCTGCGCACAGTTGTGTGTTGTTTGTGTATGTGCATCTGAGTATACACGTTTCTTACCGTTTGAGCAGCTTCTTTTGTTTCTGTGCAATTGTTTTGCAAAGCCCTCATAACAAAAATATGCTGGTGCAATACTGTCAAAATGCTAAGGATTAATAGAAAAACACATTTAAAAACAAACAAATACTAGTAGTAATGTCAAAAACACACAATAAAATTGCTAAAACTTTACCTAAATTAAAAAATAACAATGTTAAAAAAAAACATAATAAAATTGCTAAAACTTTACCTAAATTTAAAAAAAAATTATTAGAAAATGTAAAATAGAAATTGTAATATAACACTAGTAACAATGTAAAAAACACACAATAAAATTGCTAAAACTTTACCTAAATTAAAACAAAATTGATTGTAAAATGTAAAATAGAAATTGTAATATAACACTTGTAACAATGTAAAAAAAAAATAATAATAAAATTGCTAAAACTTTACCTAAATTTAAAAAAAAATTTTATTGGAAAATGTAAAATAGAAATTGTAATATAACACTAGTAACAATGTAAAAAAAACATAATAAAATTGCTAAAACTTTACCTAAATTAAAAAAATAATTTATTGGAAAATTAAAATAGAAATTGTAATATAACACTAGTAATAATGTCAAAAACACAATAAAATTGCTAAAACTTTACCTAAATTAAAAAAAGAAATTATTGGAAAATATAAAATAGAAATTGTAATATAACACTAGTAATAATGCCAAAAACACACAATAAAATTGCTAAAACTTTACCTAAATTAAAAAAAGAAATGATAGGAAAATGTAAAATAGAAATTGTAATATAACACTAGTAACAATGTAAAAAAAACATAATAAAATTGCTAAAACTTTACCTAAATTAAAAAAAGAAATGATAGGAAAATGTAAAATAGAAATTGTAATATAACACTAGTAACAATGTAAAAAAAACATAATAAAATTGCTAAAAATTTACTTTAAAAAAAAGATTCTAATTATCAATAAAATCTTCAACAGTATCTAAATGATACTAAGATAACACTATTATCATGTGCAAAACAACATGTTATGTAACATTTTATCTGCATCCACCTCTAAATGTATCTGCATGTGTTGAATTTGCATATTGTGAATATCCAGATGTTAAAAATGCATGAATATAAATGGTATTGCTTTACTGCTTAACTGCACTGTCGCTTATTTCCTTTCCCTTTCTCTTTTCTTCCTTTATCTTGATCTGCTCATGTGTTTCAGTGGATGGAGAGGAAGGTAAGATGTTGAGGCTTCATTTTGCCAATCACTTGCTCGTTCACTTTTTTTAAGAGAAATTTGTGATCATTTCTATTCCAGCTAAATGTGAGTGAGTGAATGCTTAAATACAAGGTTAAATTAGTTCTGTTTAATATGCATTAATCTATCACACACATACAGCCTTTTCAGTAAATTTAACATAATTTGTGAGCAAAACCCTTTTGTATATTTATATCAAGAAATGCATGTGCCATTAAACTCTCTTTACTATAGTGTTCTATGGAAGATTTACAGGCTGATGCTTCACATGTTTTATCTTCCCATCAGGCTCAGAAGCTGGAGGAAAAGGAGAAAGATCTGGAAAATCAGGACGCTCTGTTTCGGGAGCAGATTTCCAAGATGCAGGAAAAGGCAAAATGATTCATCTGACCTTTCATATGCTCTTTGTGCCTTTTCCAGAGTGATATCACCACTTCATATGCAGTACAGGGTTATTATAGTTAACTAAAACTAAAGCCATTAAAAAAAAATCATTACTTGCAATAAAATCAACTTTATCTGAAATTAAATAACTTATTTGATCTTAAACTTATTTTATTTCAGGAAGGAGAAAGATCTGGAAAATCAGGACGCTCTGTTTCGGGAGCAGATTGCCAAGATGCAGGAAAAGGCAAAATGATCCATCTGACCTTTCATATGCTCTTTGTACCTTTTCCAGAGTGATATCACCACTTCATATGCAGTACAGGGTTATTATAGTTAACTAAAACTTTATCTGAAATTAAATAACTTATTTGATCTTAAACTTATTTTATTTCAGCTAGTTGCCAAGGTAACATTTCTCATTGTCATTTCGTTTAACTTGATTTACTAAAATAAAAAATAAAATGAAAATGAAATAAATATGAATAAAAGCTATATAGACATATTTAAAAATAATAAAAATGACAAAACAAGCAAATTTACTAAAACTTTTAACTGAAAGTAAAATTAAAACAGAAAATATACAAAATAAAAAATAATTCAAAATATTAATGAAACTATAGTATCTTTTAGGGATGCACGATATTGGATTTTTGCCGATATTTTTTAACTCATTTTGGCTGATACCGATACCGATATATTTCCTTTTTGGAAACAACACCAAGTCTCTCCTGTGCAGAAATTATAAGCAAAATATTTTTTATTTTGGTTTGTTTTTAACAAGTATTTGTTAGAATTAAATAAACAATAATGAAGGTTTTTGACAGTACACTGAAGCTTTGAAAATAACTATAAATAAACTATATATCAATCGCTTTGCATTTTTTTCCCCAGAAAGATGCGGTGTTAACCCTAACATTTTATTTTAAGATTTAACATTTGTAGATGGTATAAAGCAAAAGACTTGTAAAAATTCTGAAAATCTTTTAGCTTATGATTTTAAAAAAAATAAAACATATTACACATTAATGAATAAATCTGTATATATAAAATTATTTAATTTACAAGTGTCATGTTTGTGATTTTTTTCATGTAAGCTATAGCTTCTGACCTTTAAATCAAAACATACTCATTATTTTATGACATCAATTACTGCTTTATTTATTCAGAAACACAGTCTAAATGTTATTTGTGTAGGCTATTTTACGTTGAATTTAATTAGAAGTAGGCCAACAGCGCCCCCTACAGATTAAAACTCCTTACAGAGCGGGCATTAGGACCCGGATAAGGATGCGCTGCTGCTGCTGCTGCACGTGCTATTACTGTTTACTCTATCACACACCGAATGCCTCAATCTCTAGGTGCTTTCACAGATTAAATGCAACGATCAAAAGAGTGAATCTAATCATCATTCAGACAAAATTTTGCTTCAAGAATGAGCCACAATGCTGACATGATCTAATCGCTAGCACACCCTGAGCACATGTGAGTTAATGTATCCCTCTTATCGGCAAAACATATCGCCCGATATTTACATTAAAAGCCATTATTAGCCGATTCTGATATCAGTCCGATAATATCGTGCATCCCTAGTATCTTTTTGGTATAAAATAAAGTAAAATAACACTAATGCAGTATATTACACGTGTTGACGGTCTCTTTGTTGATGTGCAGATGGCTCAGTTCACAAAAGTTACTGCTGAAAATTACAAGAAAGGCTTAGAGGAAGCACACAACCGCTTCAGGTGAGTGTGCAAGATCAATAAATCAGTGTTTAGTTTTTCAAATGACATTTATCTAATTTCCAACTCTCTCTAGGCGATGCCAAATCAAACCAGTGTGTTCAGATCTGCAGAGTCAGATACTGAAGTGTTACGCTGAGAATAAAGGTCAAACTATGAGCTGTTCCAACATCGCATCACTGTACATTCAGTGTGTGGACCGTGCCAGACAGGTAAACCACACTGATAAGGCCACTTGGGTAGACATGACACGACTCATATTCAAAATAGCTATTTAAATACTGACTGAGAAAATGTTTATACAGTGCAACTTAGAGGACATCTTCAACTAAGACTTTAAAGGGGTCATATGATGCTGCTAAAAAGAACATTATTTGTTTTGAAAAAAGTAGTATTATTTTATATAATTACTATGAATTATTCACAAAAATGTCATTTCATTTTTTTCCAGGATAAAAAGCTGAGCACCGGAGGTTAGCTTACTGGACTGAACATCAGATCTGCAGTGTCATGGTGAAAGAAAAAAGGCCATCACTGCAAACACACACACATCTAAACCGATCCGATTAGTTTAATTGTTTATTACACATTTCAGCAGTTTTGAATATGCATTCTCTTGAATATGAGCCATTATTGGACCACTATGCAGAAATACCTCAACTAGTTTCAGACTCTTGTAACTGTGAACTCCTAAGCTAAATGGTTTCAGGTGATATTGAGTGCTTTGTTTGTGTGTGGAGACATAGTGATATCTTCTGTGCTCCTTCTTGTTTTAAAACAGTGCATGGCCAACAAGTACAAAGCGATGCACAATCTGGAAGCTGCTGTCTGATGACATGTTTTTGCATAGTAAAAAGTTTGTGCCTTTTCCTTTGATACCTAATTTTATGGGTATTTTGGATAAATGTGATTGAAATCCAAGCTCTGCTGCTAAAAGCCGATCAAATGTGTAAAATTGGTATTAAAGGAATAGTTCACCCCAAAATAAAAATTTGCTGAAAAATGCACGCACCTTCAGGTCATCCAAGATGTAGATGAGTTTGTTTCTTCGTCAGATTTGGAGAAATGTAGCATTGCATCACTTGCTCACCAGTGGATGCTCTGCAGTGAATGGGTGCCGTCAGAATGAGAGTCCAAACAGCTGATAAAAACGTCACAATAATCCACACCAAAGACTTGCAAAGTAAAAAGCTGCATGTTTGTAAGAAACAAATCCATCATTAAGGAGTTTTGAAAAAGTCAGGAGAGAAATATGCAAAGATCGAAAACTGTTCTAAACAAATATACCGGTGGATTTTGATGTGAGACAACAATAGGGAATGGACTTTTTCAGTGGTGGAAGTGTTATTATGGATTATGGACTTGTATTTTGTCCAGAAGGTTTACAGGTGAAACCTTAACAAATTGTTTTTTCTTTTCACTTTAAAAAATGGACTAGAGTGGTGTGGATTACTTGTGGATTATTGTGATGTTTTTATCAGCTTTTTGAACTTTCATTCTGACGGCACCCATTCACTGCAGAGGATCCATTGCTGAGCAAGTGAAAATTTCTCCAAATCTGTTCAGATGAAAAAGTCCCTGAATGAGTGAAATGATGAAAACCTAGGTTCTAGGTATCTAGGTTCTTTGTTGTGTAACTTTAAATAACATGTTTCCACTAGATGGCGCTGTAGTCCACAGTCTGTGACTAGATACTGAACGTTATTCTAATATTCTTGGTGTATTGTGGAACCACCAGGCTGGTCTAGAAGGTTAAAAGGACGACCAACCCTCTCAGTAATGCCATTTTCCCAAGCCTCTGATCAGCAAAATATCAATACAAACAAACAGGAGCAGTTGTAAAATGAGCAGTGACCTTATATTATCCAGCTGGTTCATTTGCATTTATAGCTTGTTTTCTGGTTTATTATTTTATTTATCCTCTATATAGTACCAAGGGGGCTGTAGTTCTGTCAGTGCAGTATTTTATTGTATGAGAGGATGACATGAATAAGAAATCATGTTCACCTGACTCTTGCATCCTCTTATGTGTCCTACCAGCATGAACACATAGCCTAGATACAGCACAGCAGTTCATGCAAATTTCACATCGCTCGCACTCTCTGCCTTTTGCACACTTTATGAAAGCATGTTTGATGCAATATTCTTGGATCAAATGGACCTAATTATTGAAATCAACATCAACTGGCTCCTGGCTTAATGTTTTATTAAAATGTTACTTAATGGTTCAGCCTGTCATCAATTACTCAACCTCATTATGTTTCAAAACCTTATGAACACAAATGTATAGAATTGTATGTGTATGTCACTCTTTTGCATGCGATTTATTATATTTTATATAACAGCTTCTGAGCCCAATTAATTATATTATTTATATTTGAAGTTTTTTTGAAGTCATTCAATAGCTTTATTTGAAAAACAGATTGAAATTGAAGTTTTTTGTTAAAAAGCTTTCCTTTAAGTGAGCTGATCATTGAATCAGGGAGTTAAACTCAAGAAAAAGATCAGTCTGATTCACAAATGAATCATTTTTCAACTGAATCGACCACTGTATGAATAACCATAAAAAACAAATTGTTGGTGTGGCACCAAACTGAAATAAAATAAGTTGAAGTTGAATTACTAAAATGAATAATGCTAAAAATAAAAATAAAAAAGCTGAAGCTAAATAAAAAATAACAACAGAACAAAAAAAATTACTTAAACTTAAAAACTTAAAATATACAAATAAAAGCCAATTCAAAGTATTCATAAATACCGTAGTAAATAAATATCATAAAAATAAGCTTTTGTCCTCTTTTATTTTCATTATATAAAAAAACAACCAGGATATTTGTAAAAAAAAAAAAAAAACATTTTGTGTTCCACAGAAGAAAAAAAAGTTTTATGAATAATTGTAAAAAAAAACTAACTGAAATAAAATACGTTTAAGCTGAAGTACTGAAATGAATAATGCAAAAACCGAAATAACTGTAAATAAATTAAATCAAATAGAAATTAAACAAATACTGATAATCACAAGAACACATAATGAAAATAAAAACTGAAAATATGAAAATGAATGCTAATTCATAAAAAATATAAAATTATATTAATAGCATATAAATAATACTTTTCTAACTCTCACACAAAACATGGCACAACATATGGCATAAGTCGGGTTTGAAACGACATGAGGGTGAGTAAATGATTTCAGGGTGGACTATCCCTTTAAATACATATTAAAATGCTAGATGTTTAATAATAGAAGAGATCTATACTAAAATCATGGCATTTGACAGTTTTAGTATTCTCTATAGTAGCCGTATTCATTTCATTCTTGCTTCTGGGCAATGAGCATTTAAGCAATCATAACATACAAATTATTTATACGACTGTGAATTTTTAAAATGAAGTTTATTTGCTAACAAATGTGAGCCATATTTTCTGCTTTTTTCCACTGTTTGTCCTCAAGATGTTTTTAAGGACTGCTTGGATGCAGTGTGACCAGAAAAATTGGTTTAAATCCGAACTTGTTCCTTCGTTATGAACCATTTTATATGCATCAAGTGCTTGTAAACTGGGCTTGTTACCCAGAGAGCAACAGACGGTTCAGGCACTTGCACTCTTAAAAATAAAGGTGCTTCACGATGCCATAGAAGAACCTTTTGGTCTAAATGGTTCCATAAAGAACCTTTAACATCCGAAGAACTGTTTCTGTTTCACAAAAGGTTCTTTGTGGCGAAAGAAGGTTCTTCAGATTATAAAAAGGTAAGAAAGAGATGGTTCTTTTGAAAAAACTTTGACTGAATGGTTCTTTGTGGAACCAAAAATGGTTCTTCTATGGCATCGCTGTGAAGAACCTTTTAAGCACTTATTTTTAAGAGTGTACCGATGGCTGTTTGCAAACCTGGAACCATGATATCGTCCTCTGCCCCTGTATCCTTAAATATAGCTTGACATAAGCTTTATATCTGAAGAAAAATTTAACACAGGTGACATTTACAAAACCCTTGTGGTACATTGACTGTTTATAGAGGGCTTGATGATTCTCAATTACAGTTTTATAGGACGATCTGAGAGGTGCAAATCTTATGAAAGTGAAGTGTGACGAAAGGTCACCGCCGTATATTGAGCGACCCGTTTGGTTGTTTGAAGTGCCGTCACTTGGAACCATGAAACCGGCTTTAGATGTCTGCAGAGGGCATTTCAAATCAAACATGTGATTTTATCCTAGCAAATAACAGGACTCGGTAGGTGTGACCCATTGACGCCGCAGGATGCTGGCTTGATATGCTTTTGTAGAGGTCAAGACAGAGTTTGGATGTGTTTGGATGCAAAGGAAATGCTCAAAGCTGTCATTTTAATGTACAGTATAAGAGCTTTCAATAGATTCTAAATGGCGTAATAAATGGCGAATCAACACCATCTCTCTGGCTGCGATGTTTACCCACAAATTTGGCCCATTTAAGCCAAGTGCACTTTACCTGTCATCCAGGCTGATGTATGAGCATCTCAAAACCCTTGTTATCCTTCCCCTGTGGTTCATAAACCTCTTTTCTCTCCTGCAGCACTGTATTGGGATTGCTTGAATGTTAAATTGTAAGTAATATTTATTGCAAAACATAGCTATATTCTGAATCTTTAATTACATGATGTTGTAGGAATAACCAGTCTGTAATTGCTCTGCTTTTAAGACTCACATGGCTTACAGTAAGTACACTGTTCACGTTGAGTTAGACTTAATGAAAGTCGAATAAGTCAAAAATAGCTCCAAACTATTCAGTGAGTAATTCAATAGAATGATTCTAATGGAGTCTTTTTGACCAAATCATTTCAAAGAACCAGCTCATACGAGTCATTTGTTCATGAAGCAGGCTTCGTTTTGTCACTTTAGCTTTCAATAGATTCTAAATGGCATAATAAATGGCGAATCAACACCATCTCTCTGGCTGCGATGTTTACCCACAAATTCGGCCCATTTAAGCCAAGTGCACTTTACCTGTCATCCAGGCTGATGTATGAGCATCTCAAAACCCTTGTTATCCTTCCCCTGTGGTTCATAAACCTCTTTTCTCTCCTGCAGCACTGTATTGGGATTGCTTGAATGTTAAATTGTAAGTAATATTTATTGCAAAACATAGCTATATTCTGAATCTTTAATTACATGATGTTGTAGGAATAACCAGTCTGTAATTGCTCTGCTTTTAAGACTCACATGGCTTACAGTAAGTACACTGTTCACGTTGAGTTAGACTTAATGAAAGTCGAATAAGTCAAAAATAGCTCCAAACTATTCAGTGAGTAATTCAATAGAATGATTCTAATGGAGTCTTTTTGACCAAATCATTTCAAAGAACCAGCTCATACGAGTCATTTGTTCATGAAGCAGGCTTCGTTTTGTCACTTTTATTTATCTTTCTATAGCTTCACCCCAGTGTGGTTATTGTTAACTAAAACTAATGTAAAAAAAAAATGTATATACTGAATAACTGAAATAAAAATAAAGCTAAATAGGTTTTTTTACATAAAAAAATGCAAAGGCACATTACAAAATTACTAAAACGTAAACTAAAATTAAAATACAAATTTTAAATATTAAAATAAAAGTAACAGTATTCATAATTGCAACAATAGTATATAAATAATAATTTAAAAAATACCTCAAACATACAACACACATACCATGCAGCCAGTGAGGATGAATTTTGTTTTTGTATTATTTCATGGTCTTTGTCTCATCTTATCCAATTCAGACTGCAAACTTGTGAATCAACTAAAAGTATTGTTTCAGAAGTGATGTAGTGCAAAATTTTGTCTACACCAACATGCAGAACTGTTAAGCGATTTCTATGTAAATCACTCTGATATTGATCTAATTCGGCTTGGCATTGGTGGTTCATTTCATTCTTGACAATACTAAATAATTCCTACTGAACATGCAAGGCAGAATGTTCTCGTAATGGTGCACAATAGACCTCTAAGAGCTACAGTGCTGACCTGGGAAAATATTCATTAATATGTATGCAGATTT